CGACGACGACTACTACTACTACTACTACTACTACTACTACTACTACTACTAACTACTACTACTACTACTACTACTACTACTACTACTACTACTACTGCTACTACTACTACTACTACTACTACTACTACTACTACTACTACTACTACTACTACTACTACTACTACTACTACTACTACTACTACTACTACTACTACTACGCGCGCCAGCACCCAGTTGCGCCAGCATTGTTTCTTATGTTGTGGGAGGGCGGAACGTGTCCGTTGTTCCTTTCAACATGGCCAGTCTTGTCGTCGACGTTGCGAAATTCGTGGCGGGAATGGGACGCGGCGCACATCCCGCGCGGACGTCAATGCGGTGTCCTGGGGTATCCTCCACTCGCACTGAAATGCCCGCGAAACCCCAGTTGTGCCATCACTGTTTCTTATGTTGTGGGAGGGCGCGTGGGAATGGGCATGCCATGCTTGACTCGCTCGAGCTGGCTAGCTTGACCCCCCCCTACCCCCTCCCCTGGACTTGTGCGGGGGGTTTCGTGGGTGGGTGGAGGGCCCTTCTTCGGCCCCTGGGAGGGCCAATTTTTGACACCCCTCACGAAGATCGTGGCCCCCGAGGGAGGGACCTCGACCGGGAGCTTCCCTCCGTTGATCGATAGCAGATTGCCCCAAGAGGCGCTCTAGGGATCCCAAGAGAGCCCCCAGACAGCCTCAAGAGGGCTCCAAGAGGGTCCCAAGAGGGCCCCAAGAGGAACCCGAGAGGCCCCCAAGAGGCCCCCGAGAGGCCTCAGAGAGCCCAAAATGACCTTCAAGATAGCTCAGATAGCCTAAGCTTGCCCAAGATGGCTCCCAAGATGCTCCAAACGGCCCCACGACCGCTCCAAGAGCACCCAAGAGCGCTCCAAGAGAGCCCAAAGAAGCGGGTTGCCGGCTCCTGAGGGGGGAGCTGAGTTGGGGACACCTCGATCCTGTAATCGATGGCCTCCAAGATGATCCCAAGAAGCCTTCCAGGGTTACCAAGAGGGTTCCAATAAGGCCCCCAAAACTCCCAGAGAGCACCAGCAGCAGCGGCAACCGCAAGAATACCTGTAGACGGTTCCATAAGTCCTCGTCCGCGTCGTCCTCATCCCGAACCTCGTCCTCCTCGTCCTCGTCCTCATCCGCGTCCTCGTCCTCCTATTCCTCCTCGTCCTCATCCTCCTCCTGCCCCTACTCCTCCTCTTCCCTTCGCCCCCACGCGGCCCCCAGGGATGGCCCGAAGAGGCCTTCCAAGGCCACCCCCTTGCTCCCAGAGATCTCTCGGTTCACCCTGGTTGCTCGCTTTGTTTTCCTAGATGTGTCTCTTCGTCCCTTTTCAAGTCAACTCTCAAAGGCAGGGTTTCTGAATGGGCTGGTGGGGAAACGCGAAGCGTGAAGAATAGAACATCCATGCAATGCCGAGCAAGGCAATGCCAAGCCAAGCACTGCAAACCACTGCACAGCCATGCCAAGCCATGCCACGCCATGCCAAGCCATGCAACAGCCATGCAAAGCCATGCAAAGCCATGGAAAGCCATGCAAAGCCATGCAATTCCATGCAAAGCGATGCAAAGCGATGTAAAGCCATGCAAAGCAATGCACAGCAACGCAATGCGAAACAATGCACAGCAACGCGGCGCCAATGGCGGCGACGGACGGCGGCGACGAGCGGCAACAAGCTGGCCAGTCTGGCACCGGGGCCCACCTGTGGCGGCGACGGACGGCGGCGACGGGCGGCCACAAGCCTGTCGGACCAGCGCCGAGCCGAGCTACCTTAGAAGAGAAGTACGAGCCACGAAATGCAAGCACTGCTTGAGAAACAAGTGCGTGCCTCGGGGGGGATCCCAGTTGAAAAACACAAATTGCACTGGTCAGCTATAACCAGCATTCGGGTGAGAGCTACTCATCATCACAACACTAATAATAATAATCATCATCATCATCGTCGTCGTCATTATCAGCATCATCATCACCACCAACATCCTCATCAACACCATCATCATCAGCATCATCATCATCACCATCATCGTCACCATCATCAGTATCATCACCATCATCAACAGCATCACCACCATCACCATCACCATCATCAGCAACATCCTCAGTAGCATCACCATCATAATCCTCAGCATCATCAGCATCCGCATCCTCGTCATCACCATCCTCATCCTCCTCGTCGTCCTCATCATTATTATCGGAATCGGCATCACCATAATCATCATTAACATCATCATGCTCATCATCATCAGCTTCATCCATATCATACTCCTGACCATCAGCAGCAACAACATCAGCATCGTCTTCGTCGTCATCCGCGTCATCATCCTCGGCATCATCATCATCATCGTCACGGGCTTTATCCCCATCTTCAAAATCATTATCCAACTCGTCACCATCCTCATCCTCATCATCACCCTCCTCCTCCTCCTCCTCCTCCTCCTCCTCCTCCTAAACATCACCATCGTCACCATCGCTCATCGCTCATCGCTCCATCTTCATCGCCGCTACTCCTTGCTTCTTCTCCGTCCGCCTCGCTCGCTTCCGATCGCTCTTCATCACCCCCGCCTCTCCACCACCTCCTCCCCATCCTGCTCCTCATCCTTCTCCGTCTAAACAATTACTCAATATGAATACTACTCTCCCTCTTCCCCTGATGACGGTTTGAAAATGCTCGACCCCCCCCCCGCGTACTGTTGTTTTAAGCACAAGTTTCCCCAGAGTTGGGTCTTCGCTTGCATTTGTTTTCAAAATGCTGCTCTCGCTGAGGCGCCGGCCTCATTTTCGGGCCCCGCTCGTTCCGAATCGTGCTCCCGCTGCAGCGCTGGCCTCATTTCCGTGCTTCCGCTCGTTCCGAATCGTGCTCCCGCTGCGACGCTGGCCTCATTTCCGCGCTTCCGCTCGTTTCGACTCGTGCTCCCGCTGCAGCGCTGGCGTCATTTCCCGTGCCATGCCACGGCATGCTTTGCAATGCCAGGTTGATACTACGCTTTGCGGTGCTCTTCTACGCCATGCCATGCCGTGCTCTAGAATGCATCGCGTACCCTTTCGGGGTCATTGCCCTGCTCGACATCCGACTGTGCGAGTAGAGAGGGGATCTACGCCATGGTAAGGGATGGGAGGGAGGGGTAGGATGTCAGATATGACGCGAGCGCACCTAGCTTGTCATCCTCCCCCTCCTCCTCCTCCTCCTCCTCCTCCGCCTCCTCCTCCTCATTCTCCTCCCCCTCCTCCTCCGCCTCATCATCACCACCACCGCCATCCTGCCCCTCCTCCTCATGCTCCTCCTCCGCCTCCTCCTCATCATCATCGTCGGCATCATCATCAACACCATCAGCATCATCAGCATCATCATACATAGCATCATCATCAGCATCGTCGTCGTTGTCATCATCATCGTCATCGTCATCGTCATCAGCATCATCATCAGCAACATCAGCAGCACCAGCATCACCATCAGCATATCATCCTCCTCCTCATCATCGTAAGCGCCATCATCAGCATCGTTATCGATGGTATTGCCATCAACTCTCGTCGCTCATCGCCCATTGCTCACTCTTCATTGCCGCTCCGCCCTGCTCCCTCGCCGTCCGCCTCGTTCCTCCTAACTCCTTCTCCGTCTGATCCTCGCTCCTGGTCGCTCCTCATCACTGCTAGGTCCTCGCTCTTCACTCTCCTTTCCCTCCTCAATCTCTTCCTCCTCTTACTCCTCCGTCTCATCACCAGCATCATCATCATCAGCATCAGCATCAGGATCATCATCATCGTCGTCATCATCATCAACATCATCATTACCAGCATCACAGGCACCATCAGCATCATCATCAGCAGCATCATCATCAGAATGAGCCTCATTGTAATCAGCATCATCATCAAAGTCACCATCACCATCAGCAGCAAAAACAGAAGCCTAATCTTCATGATCGGCCTCATCGTCATCATCATCAGCACCATCATCACCATCACCATCATCATCAGTAGCATCATCAGCACCAGCAGTATCAGCATCAGCATCAGCATCAGCATCATCAGCAGCATGCTCATCTCATCATCAACATCATCATCAGCAATATCATCGTCCCCACAATCAGCACCGTCATCATACTCAGCAGCAGTCTCATCGGCCTCATGGTCCTCGTCAGCTTCATTGTCATCATCATCATCATCATCATCATCATCATCATCATCATCATCCTCACCAACATCCTTATCATCATCGTCATCATCATCAGCACCATCATCAGCATCATCAGCACCATCATCATCAGCACCACCATCATCATCACAACATCATCATAACCATCGGCATCATCATCATCATCATCGTCATCCTGCTCATCATCATCAACATCAACTTCCGCGCCAGCAGAAGCATCAACACCAACATTAGCATCAGCATCATCATCCTCAAACTCATAATCAACACCATCATCAAAGTCACCATCACCATCAGCAGCAGCAACAGCAACATCAACGTCATCATCAGCACCACCATCATCATCAACATCAGCATCCGCGCCACGAGCATGATCATCAGCAGCATCATCAGCAGCATCGTCGCCAATCTCATCAGCATCGTTATCATCATCAGTATCATCAATACGACCACCATCATCAGCATCATTACTATCATTTATCATCATCAGCACCATCATCATCATCAACATCGTCGTCAACATCATTATCATCATCGAAATCATCAACATCATCACCAGCAACAACAACATCATCGTCCCCATCATCATCACCATCATCACCACCGTAAGCATCATCAACATCACCACCATCAACATCATAATCATAACAATCATCATCATCACCCGCACCATCAGCATGATTCTCATCATCAGCAGCATCATCATCATCCTCATCACCATCCACCTGCTCCTCCTCTTCTTTCTCCTTCTCGCTCCTCGCCCCTCGCTCGCTCCTCACTCCTCGCCCCTCCTCGCCCCTCCTCGCCGCCCCTCCGCCCCCCCCAGCCGGGGCGCCCGCCGGGCTCTCTCTCGAGCACGAGCTCGGCACCAGCTCGGCGCACGCCTCGCTGCCCGGCGGGCCCTGCGCGGCGAGGCCAGGGCGTCGCTGAGCCCCCCTCCTGCCCTCATCGAGGGAGGTGGGCCCCCCCCGGGAGAAGAGAAGCCGGTGAGACACCCCGGTTCGGCAGAGAAGCCGGTGAGACACCCCGGTTCGGCGAGGGCATCGGGTGAGGAATCCCTCGTGTGGTGCACGGTGGGAGCACTGCATAAGGGAGCGTCGGATGAAGAATCCAGGGTATGGAAGACAGTAGGACTCCAGTCGTGGACTAGCCACGGGTATCACTGCCGCCCTCATTCGGGGACGGACAGGCCTCCCTTTAGTAAAACGTGGCTTAGTGAAAACGACCTGAGGCCCAAACCTGGCGGGCGCAGGCCTGGAAAATCACGGCCACGGCGCCCTCTCGAGAACCGAAAACGGACAATTCACTAATCGACGTGTCACTGTTGGGGGTTCTGTCCACCCCCGACTGACCCGGTACGGCAGGTTCGCGTCGTGCCGACCCCAGCGTTGGTTTTTGACACCGCAGGGATCGTTCAACCTTGAACGATCGGCCGCTGCCGCAACGTCCGATCGTTCAACACCGATCGATTCTGGGTCGCCCGCGGCGTTCAACCCTGAACGCCCGCGCTGGGGTCGCCGCTGGTCGACACGACGCAAACCTACCGTAAGGACCCCCCCAGGGTCTGCAGCCGCCCGAACACACTCCTTCGCCAGCGGTACCCCACCGGTAGAGCTTCCCGAGCGACACAAAGGCCAGAGAGCGCACGCCAGATGCTCTTTCTCGGAGCGCGTGTCGCCCCTGGGGGGGCGACGCCCTGCGCGGCGAGGCCAGGGCGCCCCCCCCCCCCACAGACACAGACACACAGACACGCAGACACACTTACACACACACGCACACACACACACACACACACACGCACACACACGCACACACGCACACGCACACACGCACACACGCACACACAGACACACACACACAGACACACGCACACACGCACACACGCACACACAGACACACACAGACACACACAGACACACACACGCACACACACGCACACACACACGCACACACACACACACACACGCACACACACACACAACCATACACGCGCGCCAGGGCGGAGCCACTCCCGCATGCAGGGCCGGCGTTAGTTTCGGAGGGCGCGGGGGGGAAGTGAGAAAAAGAAGGCTTTCTCACAAGGTGGCGGGGCTTCTCAGAAGCCCCCGCGCCCTGTGAGTTTCTCTGTCTTCGGGGAAGGCTTAGGAAACTTCTCAGAAGGCCCGAGGCCTCCCCGGCCTTCTGAGAAGGCCCACCCCTTCTCGCTTCCCCCCCCCCAGCTCGCCTCAAACAATTAGGGGGGAGAGGTTCGGCGTTCGAGGTTTTGGGCCGTTTTCTTCGGTTCTCGACGGCTTTCCAGCCTCGGGGCGGTTTCCATCAGCTGCGCCTCGTCGAGGGCGTTCCGGGGGTGTCAGAATCGTCCCAAACGACCGCCGAAGAAACGAGTTCTGGCCCGAGAGCTGGACGACGGAATCCGCTACAGTGGAGGCCCGACCACAAGAAACCTGCCACAAGAACCCAACCCCGAGATTCAAGGACGTCCATTGACTTTGGGAACGTCATGCCTTCCATCACAGAACCATCGAAACCCAAGGAACCCAGGGCACCCCGAGGGCGACCAGGGTGTTTCTTGGCATGGGCCTCCACTAGAAGGGGGATACAGTCAAAACGCATATTAAGGACGGGTGATAAGGACGCAAGACCCTTGGAGGCCGAAGTTGGGTTTTTTAGGGCGGCGGGCGAACAGTGATAATGGCAAGGACGAGCCTCAGAGGCAAGGACACAAGGGTACCCTGGATGAAGGCGCGCGTCCTTACTAGGCGCGTTGACTGTAATTACGTTCCGGGGGGGCACGCATCGACCCCAGATCGCCCGCTCATCGCCGACCGAGGGCGGATGGCCCATCCCCGCCCAGGAGCGGGCGCGTTCGCCCTCGGGGGCCCCCCTCCCCCCGAGCCGGCCCCTCCCTGCCGTTGCCCCTCCTGGCCGCCACCGCGCGTCGCCGTCGTGGTCGTCGTCGGTCGCCGTGGTCGCCGTTGTGGTCGTCGCTGTCGTGGTCATCGTCGTGCCCGCGGTGGTCGTGGCCGTGGTGGCCGAACCACCTAGACGAGCGCGTTCCACTACTCGCAGAGGCACTGCTCGCAAGTGGCCTGGATCCGCCGCGGGCGATGCACGATACATCACATCGGTGCATGACACGTATTTTTCGGGCGTTTGCGAGTAGGCACTTCGCGAGTCGTGGACCGCGCTCGGTTTCGTAATTGTCGTCGTAATCGTCAGCGTAGTCGTAACCGTCGTCGTCGTAATCGTCGTCGTCTTGTCGTCGTAATCGTCGTCGTCGTAATCGTCGTCGTCGTCTTCGTAATCGGCGGCGGCCGCGCAGGCGCCCACGCCAGCGGGGAACGGGGTCGCCGCCCGCCTGTCTGCCGCCGGCGGGGCGAGCGGCGTGCTCCGCCGCGGCCGAGGCGCGCGCCGCGGAGGCCTCGGGCGCACGCCGGGGTCGCAGCCGTCGCCGTCGCAGGAGGAGGAGGAGGAGGAGGAGGAGGAGGAGGAGGAGGAGGAGGAGGAGGAGGGGGAGGGGAGAGCCAGGGAACTCCTCCTCCTCCTCCTCCTCCTCCTCCTCCTCCTCCCTTCGGGCCCCCCCCCGAGGTCCCGACTCACTCCGGGGGAGGGAGGGGTAGATCGGATCGACTCGGCAGGAGGAGGCGTCCAGCCCCGCAGCGCCGTCTGGGCCTCCCCCCTTTTTGGGGGGGCTACAGGTGTGAATCCCAAGGCTCAATAACAGATAACAGTGGTGGCAGTATTCATATCCCGCCCTGCCTGGCGGACGAAAACCACCCAGGCCCGAACCATCCACGCTTGGGAGGGGGGAGGGGGGAGGAGGGAGGGAGGGAGGAATGGAGGGAGGAGGGAGGGTTTGGTCTCAAGCTTCCTGTATTGGGTTCTCGTTTTGATCAGAGCATTGCTCGTGAGCCTTACCCCCTCCTCCCGCTCCTCCTCCTCCTCCTCCTCCTCCTCCTCCTCCTCCTCCTCCTCCTCGCCTCCAGCCTCCTCCTGCCACCAGCCTCTTTGTCTTCCTTCTTCGCACCTTCCCTATTGGGGGGCTGCGAACTTCGCGATGGTCACCACTTTCGCGGGCTCCCGGAAGGCGCGGCAAAAGTGATGGCCCACTGTCGTGGGCTCCTCGGAAGCACGGCGGAGGTGAGGGCAGTGCTGATCCATTTGAGACCTCGCGGCGGCTCATTGGGGCGCTGCGAACTGGGAAACTGTCGCCACTTTCGTTGGTTCCTGGGAGGTACGGCGGAGGTGAGGGCAGCGCAGATAGTGCATAGCTGGCGATGTGTTCTTCTGTATGGAGCGTTCATACAAATATCCGCCTCGCGTGGGGAAGGGTTTGGGTACGTCTCGGGTAATTGGATTGCGAGGCCGATGAAGCACGAAGCCTGTCAGCGAAAGATGGCATACATCTAGCAGGAAACTAGCTTCACTGCAGAGTCTGCACGGGCGCCACGGCAAGGGTTCCAAGGACTGGAGCGGAGCAACACGGTGCACTGCGACTGATCTGGGACCTCCAAAGGGCGCCACCCCAAAACCGTCACCCGAGGCCTTTGGTGACTGTTTTGGTACGGGCAGGTCTGACGACACGAGGACGACACGGAACGAAAGGAAGGAGGGAGGGAGGGAGAAGGAAGGGAGGAGGAAGTTAGGAAACAACTCGTGGGGGATCTTCGCGCGAACGTTCAGGGGGCACTCAGCCGGACTGCCCCTAATCAAGCTCAGGGTGGAGCGGGATCAGGCGGGATGAAGTGGAATGAAACGGGATTAGGCTGGTTTTCGGCCATGGATGTACCAGCGCCGATGCTGAGTTGAACCTCTCACGTGTTGCATCTCAAAGGAAGGGAGGAGCGGAGGGAGGATGGAAGGGAGGAGAGAAAGGGAGGCAGTGAGGGAGGAAGGAGGGAGGAGGGAGCCCGATGGTCGCCGTAGCGGCGAGAATCCTCCTGGAGCCCCAAAGGTGGCAAACACAACCCCAATAACCTTGATCCTCGATCCCTCCGTTCCCCGACGACGACAACCCCTGGACCTCTGGATCACTTCACCGGACTGGCTTTTCCGCCCGAAGCGTTTCTTGATTGTCCCCGGGGCACATACGTACCTCTGAAGAACGGATTCGGAGAACAACTGGCAGTCCCATCGACGACGACGACGACGATGACGAACGACGTCGTCTGGAGATCTCCTGTCATTTCCAAAGGTCCCCAGAGGTCCTCGACGGTATTCTGTACTCCGGAGGCCTCCAGGCGGCCAGAATATTTCCGAAACAAAAAGAAAACTGAGCCATCTAGACCTCGAAACCTCGAATCCTGAATCCTCAGATCCTCGAGGCCTCGAGGCCGCCAGACGACGACGACGACAACGACGAGGACGAGGACAACGCTCACGACGACGACGACGACGACGACGACGACGACAACGATGACGACGACGACGACGACGACGACGACGCGCACGACGACGACGACGACGACGACGACGACGCCGACGCCGACGCCGACGCCGACGACGACGACGACGACGACGACGACGACGAAGGCGACCGCCCGCTCACGGCCCAGGCCTCCCTTTGCTGCGCCTGCACCCTCCTTCTGCCTCCTGCCTCCTGCCTCTTGCCACTCTCTCCTCCTCTTCCTCCTCCTCCAACCTCACCTCCTGCCTCCACCTCCTGCCTTCTCCCGCCCCCTCGCTCTGGCCATTCTCCAATGGCACCCACACAGTCTTCCAGATCCCCCAATTGATTTGCCAGCTGCAGTGTCATCTTTAGTCGAAAGGCTTCATGCTGCAACGGCCTTGCAACTTAAAATCTTCCGATCCTCAAATCCGACCTCCTGATTTCAGTTCA